AATAACAAAAGACTATTGTTTTTTTAGAATAATTAAAGATTAAATATTTTTACATTAAAAAAATAATGTATGTATAATGGCTTCTTGTGACACATCTTGATCTCCTTATAGCACATTACAGTCGCCTTTGTCTTGTAGGCTCCTCATGTTAAGATTCTGATGATTATATGGTTAATATAATTGGGGAGGTATTCAAATAAAAAAATATGAGACTCTATAGGAGAGATCAAATGCTATGAAGTCATGAATATTTTATTTCAGGGCCTTCCATGTTCAAATGTGTAACTATTGTATTCGGCTGCAAATAATGTTGGATCATCAAATAAAAAAGTAAATAAGCCAAATTGTTCAATATCTGGACAGCTAAACTAGTTGAATAAGGATGATGGGAGCATGTGATGGGATTGAGTAAATAAGTTAGAAGAAGAAGGGCCTCCTTAGTCTTGTTCCACTTCATCTTCACTGGCATTAGGTAGTTGTGTAGACAAATAGCCTTCACATCTCCTATTTTGTCTTCCTTGAGGAATATGTAGGCATGGCACGTCTACTGTACATGGAGCAGGTTGAGAGATCATTGTGAAGTGTTACTCTCTTAACACAAGTAAAATGTTGCATTAGTCTTGACAAACCTTTTCTTGATAATTTGTTATTGGTATTTGTAGAGGGTTTTGAAGACTTTACTTATACAAACCTTTTGCTAAATCTACCTGAAATTAGTTCAAAAATATTAAAAAGTAAGAATATCAATTGTAAAATAATAATGCTAGTGAATACTTACTACAAAGCAGCAATTATTGAGCAAATCCACCTTCGAGAATGTCTTCAATACCATCGTATGTACTTAGATGTGTGATCTAATGGCTCGTTTGATATAGGAGACTTTACAATAGCATGTGCCTGTCCTTCCTATGCATCGATGAAGTTTGCATGCTTCTCAATCCAATTTGATGACATTTTTTCCCTGAGTTGTAATGTGTGGATATTCCCCAATCTAATTGGAGGAAAAAGAAATCAGTTGTTGAAGACCAAATTGTCTCATGATGTGATCAATGAGTGTGGCCCAATTCATCTCATTACATATGTGCATTGACCAAGGATGACTTCTTTCTCTAATCATTGATGGGTTAGGAATCAAATTAGGAATATCAATTGTAAACCAATGAATCTCATTTCCTATAAGGTGAAACTCATTACTATAAGCTTGCCTTATATATTGTAAAGTGAAAACAAAATCCATGAATTATAGATGGTCTAAACCAACACTTGCACATATTGTAATCACATGCATGCATGCATAGATATTTTTCTACTTGAAACTCTCCATAGTCACATTTTTTTTTCATTTAAGCTAACTTTGCAACAATGTCCAAATTGATGACTTTGAATATTGTATGGTTCTTACACCTCAAATGATGTTTCCCTTTGATCAAAAGTGCAAACGGTACAAATAGATAAAGCTTGTGGCGCCATTTCTAGCTTCTTACTAATTTTTTTAAAAACCATTTAACCAATTGCTATTTGTGCTTCAACTTATTGGGCACGTTTGAAAAAATAATTATTTACCCTATACATAAAAGCCTTCATAAGTCTTGTAATTGATAAGTTTCGAACACCTTTAAAAACACTATTAATGCATTTTGTTAGATTGGTTGTCATGTGACCATAAAACTGACCTTCAATGTCATATGCACTGACCACTTTTCTAGTGGAATTTCACCCACCTATCTTGTTGCTTGCTCACGGATCAATCCTATCTTGGCCAGTTGTTAGTTAATAACATGATGCTTATATACATAATAAAAAACATATCATCAATAATTATCATGGTAGGATTTTATGATTAAATAAAAATAATTGACTCATACCAATGTGTACAAACTTTTCCGTTAACCAATTTGTCCCATGTGTTTTGTGAAGGTTTGCGGCCATATGTCTTAAACCAAAAACATGGTATCCATTTGATGGTTGCCTCCCAACACATGGATCCCCAACTGTAGCCATTATTGAGCGATGCCTTTCAAAAGCTAAACATATACCATTTTATCCTTTGCGACATATGTGCGAACATTATACAAGAACTAAGACTAAGCAGATATTGTCTCTCCCTCAACCACAACAAATGCAAGGGGTACAACATTTCAATCACCATAGTGATATGGTCATAAAAAATGTACCCTTATATTTTCCATATAGAAAGGTACCATCAACTTGGATAATAGGCTTTAAGTGTTTGAACTCATCAATACATGGCTTGAATACCCAAAAAAAAAAAACACAAACATTTCTACAAGCTAATCTTTAGAATTAACTTTTGAGCATACCTTACTTTTAAATCTCACGCACAATCTAGGCATGAAATGTTGGATTGCAACTAACTACCTTTGTAATAACGAGTATGAGCTCTTCCAATTACCAAAAACCATTGCAACTGCTAATTGTTTAGCTTTTCTTGCTTTCTTATATGACATTATATACCTAAACATGGGTTATATAAGCTCAATTGTTTGGGATATTTTCACATTTGGTCGATTAGTTATCATTGCCACAGGATGAGATGACATTAACATCTATCTTAAGGTGGTCTTGACTTAATGATGTTGCCAAACAAGTATGACACCCTGCATATTTTGTAATATGCCATAATGTTCTATTTTCTTTTTTGCAAGCCCTTAATATCTAATTACAACTACTTTTGTAATTTATACATCGATATTCTTTATACTTATCACTTGCATGAAACATCTTGGTGAACTTGAACAAAGTACAATTTGGCTGCATGTTTTAGTATGTGGATATTATTAAACACTTAACCAATGAAAAACTCTTAGCCGTCATTATGAGGCAAAAAATCTCCCATTTTGCTAAACTCAAGAGTCACGGATGACTTTATATTAATTTGTGAGAAGAAAGTTGAGACAACCTCTTCATTGTTCTCTTCAAAGGCCTCATCATCATCATAGTCACAACTACCATTTATATAAAAATAATACTCATATTCATCTTCAAAATCATCCATAATATCTTCAGATGGAGTTTGTGAAGAAAATTGCACACTATTATTACCAACATCAAGGCAAGGAGGATCAAAATGATGGAAATTTTCTAAGTGCAAGCTAAGCCTTCTTCTTTCTTCCATTGGTCTATGTGATTGCTATTTGATGGAAATGAAAATCTAACAAAGTCCTCTAATAGTTGCGATTTAGAAAGGTCATCAAATTCTACATTTAAAATGTGTGCATATAGCTCTGGTCCTGTCAATTGATTTGAATATCGCAAATTTATATGCCACATTTGCTATATGTCAGAATCGTTCTACAACTTGCATGCTCGGTATCTTGGCAAATTTATGGCTATTGGATATTTATACACTAGATTCGACAAAATTTAATTGGAAGGAAACTCTAGTATTTATCTAATATCTTGCTTTAGTAGGGATAAAAAAATATTTACATTAATCCTCATTATTCTCATATCATTAGATTCAAATGTTACACAATCTAGAACATTGAAATTTTGACCGTTTACATATATGCACACTAACTCTTTTCTATTGTCCATTTTCCCTATATATTCAGCAAATTTTTTATTAATCAAATTAATATTAAGGCACGAAAAAAAAATCTAATCCCTATACAATAAACCAAGTATCAAAGCATTTTTTTTAATATACTTTCAGGCATCCACATGTGACTAATTTATTTTTTTATAATATTATAATAGCAATTTATTTGGTTTCCCTCTCAATTTAAGTAGATAAAAATCATGAACAAGAGAACTTTTTTTTTTGATGAATTTCATTTTTTTAAAAAAAATTGAATGAGTGGGTTTGGTTGTTTTTAATACAATATTTATCATCCATATAACAATATGATTGTAAATTATTTTATTTGACAGTAGATTTCTTACCCATTTAATTGACAAAATAGGAAATTTTGGTATTATCATAAGATATAAATAAACACATGTTCATACCAAAAATATCAACAACATGATTCTATTTTTTCAAAAAAAAAATATTTTAACTAAGTTTTTTTTTAAATATAAATTAATAACAATGACTTGTATTATCAGAGACCGTAGATATTTATAAAAGATTACCAACTCCAAAATATATTATCTTAAATAAATATTTTATTTAAAAATAATACTTTATTACATATTTTAATAAAAACATGATTTAAAAAATGAATATTATTTATTTTTAAAAAGTGGATTTTTTTTTAAATACTGTGCCACTGACCATGACTGACACGATTACTTATAGCAAAAGCAACATTATTTATATATTTTTTATTAAAAATGATTATAAAAAGCAAAATTTACTGTTGATTTACAGGACAATTTCGACAGTAAATACAAAGGATTAAGATATGACTGAGATTGAGATTATTTTCTTCTTACGCCATATGTTCATGCCAATTAATATTTTAATAATATATTACCTTCCTTTTTTTTTATCTTTATATAAAAGCATATAACATTATTATTGTACAACCTTAACTAAAAAAATATCACTTAGCTCCTTCCAAAAAAAAAATTCACTTAGCTATAGCTATTATATAAATTTATTATGTTAATAAAATAACCACTAATCATGTATAAAATATTATTAACACAATAGCATTAATAAAATATCAGAAGACTACAATAAAAATAAATATTTATATGTATAAAAAAAGTTTAAACATATACAAAAAAATCAAATATTTTTTATCATAATCAAAATATTAAATCATGAATATAATATATATAGACACACACACTTACCTACTTTATTCTGATGTTAAAATGAAAAAGACCTTTGAGAGCAACAGAGAGACAGACGCAACACTTAAAAAAAAAAAAAAAAAAGAAGCAAAGGGGGAAGAGAATGCGGACACTGGAAGATGAAGCAAAAAGGAAGAAGAACATAAAGGAAGTATTTTTACCTCGGAGTCAAAAAGTGTTCGTGTTGGATCGTCTTCCTCACTTTGAAGTTTCGGTCCAAAATTGAGAGAGTGATGAGAGAGAAAGGTAGTGAGAGAGTGCTTTTTAAGGCTAGTGATTCGACTTCATCCATCAATCCTGGAGATGGAGAAAGTGCAGCTCGTTCGATTGAGGAGGAAGATGTCCTCGCACGTAGTACCAAAAAGCTAGATGAAGATGTGATCATGCAAGGTACAGAAACAGAGACTGAAGCGAAACAAAGGGAAGAAAAGTCGAGAACTCAGCAGGACGTAACTGACTCCCGTCCGAAACAAATCTCCTATAAGGCGAAGTTGATTGGAACAGAGGATAAGAAACGCGATCTAGACTTTGAAGAACAGTTTCAAGAATGGCTGAAAGAGGAAACTCAATGTGCACCACAATGGACTGAGGAACAGCAAAAAATAATCGATACACTCCCTACTGTCAAAGTACCAGATGAAAGACTCAAAGAACTATGCAAGCCATGGAAAGACGCACTGATTTTGACACTGATGGGGAAGAAGATGCGGCTGGTGGAATTACGAGTTAAACTGGCTAGAGTGTGGGGTACGTATAATTTTGAACTCATTGATTTCGAAAACAACTACTTCACTTTTCGAACAGATAGCATTGAGCTGTACCGAAAGGTTCTCAGTGATGGACCTTGGGTAATCTCAGGACACTGTCTTGCGGTGCAAAGGTGGAGTCCGAATTTCAACCCATTCACAAATCAGATTCAAAAGATTGCTCTCTGGATTCGGGTGCCTGTTCTATCCATGCGCTGTTATAATGAAGAGTTCATGTGGGAGACCGGTAACATGATAGGGAAAGCTCTGAAAGTTGATATGAATACCCTTGCTCAAGTGAACCAAAAAAACACCGTGGAGAGAGGAAGATATGCCCGAGTAAGTGTAGAAGTTGATCTGACGAAACCACTACATTCTCGCTTTATTATTAGAAGGAAAATCTTTACGCTCATTTATGAGAGAATTAGTGTCATCTGTTTCAACTGTGGCAAAGTTAGACATAAGAATGAAGACTGTCCCATGAAGACTCCTGAAACTGGGCAACCGGTAGGAGAAGAGAAAAATCAATCAACAACACCAAAAGAGCAGAAACAAACACCATCCACCTCAAGGTTTCGCTAGAGCAAAGATATGGAGAATGGATGTTGGAAAAGAGGCCTTACAGGCCAATAACTTGTAGGAATGATATTGAATAGTCACCAAACGGATGGTCCGCTAGATAAAAGATGAACCCCAGAGACGTCAACGTCAATAACGTTGCATCCAGATTTGCAGTCCTTTCTGAGGATATGGACCAAGAAAAGAGGCAACCACAAAAAAAAGTTTCACATAAGAAGGGACCTAGTGTCGTCTGGAAGAGGAAAGAGAGTGAGATCAACAAGGAAAAAATGGAAATGGTCAGAAGGAAGGTCAGGAGGGCAGCAGCTTGGGGGCTAGCACGTCTAATCATGAAAAAGGAAATCCTAATAAAGACAAGTCTTCAGGTCGAAAACAACAACCTCAGAAAGAAATCACAAAGGAAGATGCTGAGAGAATATTTTCTTTTTCGGCCGAGAAACAACAAAAGGAGAAGGGTAGAAGAGGAAACTCACTAGGTAAAGGACAAGTGGGCGAGTCACACTCCAGTATGAACAACAATTTGGTTAGTGGGCTGAAGAGAAGCTTGACAACAAGGCCTAAAATCCTGTCGCCTGTCCTAAAAAGAAAACAATCAACAAGACTTCATAATATTACGATGGGTAACTTGTCTTTCAAGGGTCCATTACCTTTAGAACAAATCATCCAGGCCAACACCACAACGGAATATCCCCAAGCTACTGATGATCTGGCGACAAGGAAACTAGCAAATGAAGCAAGCCGAATGCTGAACATTAGTGTGATGGAAATGAATCTCACCCACTCTAATGACCCACCCATTCAACAATTCCATGGTAATCATAGCAACATGGATGACGATTCCACTGGGGATCCACTAGAAAACTTTTATGAAATAGAAGGAAGAGAAGGAGAAAGTGATTCTGAGGGAGTACCTACAACCCCTCAATCGAATCGTCAATGATTTCCCAGGTTCCCTTTATCTCTTATATTCATGAATTTGCTAGTCTGGAATTGTAGGGGCTGTGCCTTAAAAAATTTTCCCATCCAAATTCAGGACTTAACCAGAGATAAACAAATTAAAGTCATGGTTCTGTTAGAAACATGCTCTAGTGGGGTCAAAGCTGATAGAATTTCACAAAAAATGGGATTTACAAATTGGATAAGGGTTGAAGCCACAGGTTATGCGGGGGGTATCTGGATGTTTTGGAATGAGAAAGAGGTCAAAATTCATTATATCAGTTCTACCACTCAGCTTCTTCATGTCTACCTTGAGGAAAGCAATGGGAATAATGGATTTTGGTTCACCAGTGTTTACGCAGAACCAAATGTACTGATGCGTAGATACTTATGGTTTGACCTTTGTTCAATCAACAACTCTGTATCTGGACCTTGGCTAATTATGGGGGACTTCAATGCTTATTTATCCCCAGATGATAAAACCGGAGGTGCGCAAGCGAATTATACCTCTATGTCACAATTTGGTGACTGTCTCCAAAAATTGCAGATGATAGAAATTGAAACAATAGGTGAAAGATTCACTTAGGAGAAACTCCCCCTGAAAGAAAAAATTGACTGGGGCTTTGCTAATTACCAATGGCATATGAAGTTCAGTGAGTGTAAAGTGCACCATTTATCGAAATTCGGGTCTGATCATAGACCCCTCCTCTTAAAATCTCGATGTTCTCATGTCCTAGACAGAAGGAATAGATTATTTAGAGTTGAAGCAGCATGGTTTTTGGAAGAGGACTTTATCAATGTTATTAAAAATGCTTGGTCAGAAACAGATTGGCTCTCCAGTGTTAGACAATTTCAAGGAGATGCTGAAAAGTGGAACCGTAGCAGAATTGGCAATATTCCTTATAAGAAGCGGGGTTTACTAAGAAGATTAGAAGGGGTGGAAAAAGCAAGAAACAGAAAAGATAGTCAATATCTTCAGAAAGTAGAAGCTGATTTATGGAATGAATATAGTAAAACCATTTCTCAGGAGGAGTTACTGTGGTACCAAAAATCTAAATGTAACTGGTTGAAATGGGGAGATCGCAATAGCAAGTTCTACCATGCCACCACAAAAATGAGAAGAAAGAAAAACAACATTGATGCTCTCAAGGATGAACAGGGAAATTGGGTTGAAAATCAAGATGAGTTGAAATCAATGGCAGTCAACTTCTTTAAGTGCTTGTTCAATTCTGAAGGTGACTTGCCGTCAAGTCCCAACTCCCTAAAATCTTATCCCAGGTTAAGCAAAGAAAAACTTGAGATGCTACATGGGGACGTTACTGAACCTGAAATTAAAAATGTTGTGTTTGACATGGGAGCTATGAAGGCCCCGGGGCCCGATGGCATCCAAGCACTCTTTTACTAACACTACTGAGGACTATTAGAGAAGAATATTATCCAAATGGTGAAAGGTATTTTCCAGCACCCGCCTAATTTAAAAAAGCTAAACCAAACTCACCTGGTACTAATTCCCAAAACAGATAAACCTGAATGCATGAAGGAGTTCCGCCCCATCTCTCTATGTAATGTGAGTTATAAAGTGGTCTCCAAAGTGTTAACCAACAGAATTAAAGGTGTTATCAGCAAATTGGTGGATAAGCATCAAAGCAGTTTTATTTAAGGAAGGCAAGGAAGTGACAATGTGATTATTGCCCAAGAAGTCCTGAATACAATGAGGAATAGCAAGCGAAGAAAGGGGATAGTAGCTATAAAAGTAGATTTAGAAAAAGCATATGACAGATTGGATTGGAGATTTGTCAAACGGTGCTTACAGGAAGTTGGGTTTACGGGAAAAATTCTGGAATTGATACAGCTTTGCATTAAAAGTCCAACAATGAGAATTCTTTGGAACGGGGAGCCTACAGAAGAAATCAAACCTTCAAGAGGGGTTAGGCAAGGAGACCCTGTCTCACCTTACATCTTCACACTTTGCATGGAGAAACTTAGCCACATGATTCAAGATGAGATTAACTTAGGCAACTGGAAACCAATAAAGTTGAATAAGAATGGACCACCTATCTCACACCTCTTCTTTACAGATGACCTTTTCCTATTTGGGGAAGCCTCTTCCGACCAAATTGAAGTAATTAGCAATTGTTTGGAGAGGTTTTGCAACCTTTCAGGTCAAAAGGTGAACAAGATCAAAACTAAGATGAGTGTTTTCAATTCTGTCTACTGCTCTAGAGCTTTGTCTTTAAGCAAACAACTAGGTGTCACCCTTACTGGAGACCTTGGAAAATACTTGGGAATCCCTCTATTGATTAAGAGGGCAAACTATTTGAATTTCAAGCCCATTTTGGGAAAGGTCAGAGCCAAACTATCAGGGTGGAAAGGCAAACTACTCATATTTTCTGGGAGATCAATGCTCATAAAATCCATACTCACGGCAATCCCGAACTACCACATGCAAACCATGCTTCTACCTAAGAAATTACTTCAAGAAATCGAGAAGGAAAGCAATGCCTTTCTATGGGGAAGAAGGGATGGTGAAAAGAAACTTCACCTTGTCTCTTGGGATATGGTTAAACATAAAAAAGAATCAAGCAGTCTAGGAGTTAAGGACTTACAAGTGCAAAATCAAGCCTTTATTCTAAAATTATGCTGGAATTTGGTCAACAATAAAGACTCCTTTTGGGTTAAAGTTGTGAGATCCAAGTACAAGTGTGGGGATTCTGATATGCCTATGATTTCCAAAAGGAAAAATGCTTTAGAAACGTGGAAAAGTATGCTTAAAGTCTGGGATAGGTTCACAGAAGGCATTGGCAAGTGATGTAACCCGGGTAGAAATTCAAAATTTTGGTGTGATAACTGGTCTATCATGAATGAACCCTTAATCAAGTATGTCAAAACTAATAGTCTCCCGCTGGAAAATGAAGCCACCATTGAAGATTTTATCTCTCCAAGCGGGGGGTGGGACATAACTAAAATGGCAAATTGGCTCACTTTCTCCATCATTAGTCGAATCACTAGCACTAGCCCACCAAATGTGTTGAGAGGAAGTGATAAATTTGTGTGGAAACCATTAACAGATGGTTTTTTTAACATTAAATCTGCTTATGACTTTCTCCTTGCAGGTATTGATGCGAATGGAGACAGCTTATGGAAAAAAAATTTGGAGATGTGATGCACCTGAAAAAATGAAAAACTTCATTTGGCTCTTAGGGAACAACATAGTCCACTCAGCACAACTCAGAGAACGAAGGGGCATAACTAGCTTAAGTGCTTGTCCAATGGGATGCATCGAAGAAGAGTCAACTATGCACATAGTTAGAGATTGCAAAATTGCAAGAGATGTATGGAGACAAATTATAAAACCTGAATATTGGAGCGATTTTTTGCAAAAACATTGTCTGGAATGGATTAGATGGAATAACACAAATGACCCTGGCATTGAGTCTATAAAAAAGGTACCCTGGACCATTATTTTTGCTTATGTCTACTGGGAACTTTGGACCAACAGATGTACAAATTTATTTGGAATGAAAAGCCTAAATTGCATATTGACACTAACAAGTGCATCATGAAAGCCATGACTGATATCAGTCTCACTAGGAGAGTTAACATGGGAAAAAACTCCCACAAGCCAAATGATAAATGGCACCCCCTTGAAAAGGGCTTTGTAAGATTGGATGTTGATGGGTCAGTGTATGCTAATGGTCTTGCTACATGTGGAGGAGCTTTGATATATGAGAATGGAAGATGGATCACAAGTTTTTGTGGTAAACTAGGGCAACTTCCACCGGTATTAGCTGAAATTATAGGTATCATTATGGGACTTGAAATTTGTTGGTCAGCAGGGCTATTGAAAATAGAAGTCTGCACTGATTGTGTTGAAGCCATTAATCTCCTAACTAAAGGATTTAATGAGGATCACCCTTTTCAGGACATCCTATCTTATGCTACTAATGTGTTAAATAGGAATTGGTCTATTTCCATCAATTTTGGTTTTAGGATTGTTATTACTATTGCTCTCAATCTAGCTAGGAGAGCTCACTCTGAGGAGGATTGCTTTCGCATCTTTGATCATCCACTACCTTAGGCATTTGTAGGAGGTGGATGATGATTATTGTTAGGTTTCCCTTTAGTCTACTTTTAGTTTCTTGTTTGTTCAGTATTGAATGATATTCAGTTTCTTATTCAAAAAAAAAAAGGAAGAAGAACATGTGTCAGAAGAAATTGAAAACACTAATTATGCAACTTGCATTTATTTTCGAAGCTTCCTTATTGTAGATGCACATATTAAGAAATAAGGGAAGAAAAAAAAGTAAAGCTGTCAATTAAAACTGATCTTTAAAGGGTTAAGGTTTAAATGAATTAGCCTTAATAAATTTAATCATACTTCAAGGCTTCTTTTTAAAAGGCTCGATCTTAACCCTCAGGGTCAGCCCTCAGGGTCTCAGCCTTATTTTTTTTTTACTTTTTTAATTTATAATTCTAAAAAATATATTTATAATCCTAAAAAAAATTATTATACATAAAATTAAGTTTAAAAAATAAATTTAAATTAATTTACACTACAACAAATAAAGAAAATTTAAATATTTAGATCTAATATCAAACAGCAATGTAACACACCAAATTTTTTTTTTTAAATAATTTAACTCAATCATAGTTGGGTTACAGCCACCCAACACATTTTTATATCAATAATTTCGATATAAAATATTTTATAATTGGCTTCAACTCACACACTATAACATTTCAGATAAATTTTTACCTCTAAATATTATTTTTTTTAAAATTTCTATTAACCTAAATTAACTATTAAAATTTAAATTGGGATGTTACAAGCAACATCAAAATTAATACCAATAAAAATTAGACTTGGCTAACATTATTAACTAAATCTTAATGAATGAATGAAGGAGGGACGAATGAGTCTAATATGTTTATTTTTTTAGTTATATATTTAATCTTCTATTTTTTTACATTATAATTTTTTAAAAAAATAATAAAAGGGTTTAAAAGGGCCCCCTTTTATTTTCAAGCTTAAAAGGGCTTGAATTATCTTTTTTTTCAAAATAGAGACCCGGCCTTAGTTATTTTCATGTTTAAAAGGGACGACTTAACGGATTTAATTCTAATTGACAACTCTAGAAAAAAGTACCCCATATTGATCAACAAGACATCACAATACATACTCCCTCCGTTTAAAAATATAAGACATTTTTAATCTAATCTCATCCCCCAATAAAATAATCACCTATTTTTAAACTAATTCTATTTTTTTACATTTATTCCTATTAAATACTCTATAATAAATATAAATTCACTATCAATAAAGGTACTTTAAAAAAAATTACATATTAAAAAATTAAAAATATTTTATATTTTTAAATATTTAATTTTTTAAAAAAATATTTTATATTTTTAAACGAGAGGAATAAAAAAGTTTGCTCATAAACCATTAAGACTTGACGCCGCATATATTCTCATGCAAATACAGTGTCACGTCTTGCTACTGTTGCAGCGTGATGTCACATCCCAGTAGCAGCATTTTTTTAAAAAAGATAAAGTGAACTAGGTGCGCTAGAAACTGCTTTTTAGTGCAATAGAATTTGACTTTTTCACACTAACTTGGATACCATAAAAATTGAGTACAGCAAAATCTGGCACGATGAAATGGGTTTGTCAGAAACTGATTTTGTATTCATAATATCTAGGAAAATAATTTCCACAGTATAGTATATGAGAAATTTCTTTTTTCTTTCATAACATTTTGGTCAAAAAGCCTTGAAATTATCACTTTAACTCTTTGCTCTCGCCCTATATTAACTAAAATATGTCCATATATGTGGACAGAATCAGAAACTGTTGTGTTGTATTTTCTAAAAGCTCCACAGATATATCTGGATTAAATTAAGGGACAAGTATTAATGGCTTGTAAGTGAGATTAAACTCAACCTATTATTTACATGTATACGTGTCGCTGAGTTACAAAACCATTGACAAAACCTTTGTAGATATATTAATACGTCATTGAAAGAAATCAAGAATATAGTCTCTAGTCCTTAAGGTTATGGCCCGTTAAACGCTTTTTATTTATTGATTTTTTTTATCAAGAAACCAACCCTTAGAGTCGGAATCTTCATTTAATGAAAAGCTAATTTTCTTTAATGAAAAAAACTACAAGAATCTCCACATTAATTATTAATTTGTTCAGTCATTGTATTCTGCCAGTATCAATTAATTGTTCCTTGTTTATAAGCCTTTTTTTTTAATAACGAAAACTGAAATCTATAAATTAATTAAAATCAAATACAAGCAAGAACTTAGACGAGAAAAACTAGGGAGAATGACAGTCAAGTCCTAAGAAGACTAATTAATTCAAATTAAGTCCCAATCAATTTCAAAATATTTATAAAATTCATTAATTCTTTAATGATAATAAGCCTAATTGAAATTTACAAGTTCAACTTTTAATTTTATAATTTTATTATGATACATTTGCAATTTCTTTTTCAAATTTTAACAAGGAACATAAATGTTCATCTTTAATATTAAAAAATATTAAATCTAATATTTTTAAAAATTTACAAAATTTAACTTTTTATTTTACAACTTCATTGTAATGCATTCACAATTTATTTTCTTAATTTTAATAAAACACAAATATTTATTTTTAATATTAAAAAATATTAAAGCTGACAGCTTTAGAGATTTGCATGTTCCTAACTTTACAGCTTCATCATTATGAATTTGAAATTTATTTTTAAAATTTTAATAAAAAATACAAATATTCAAATTTAATGTTAAAAAATACTAAATTCATTGTTTATTATTTTCCTATTGCCTATTTATCATAAAATAAATATATCCTCCATTTCTCTGCTACTTCTTGTTCATTCTTTAACCTTATTAAAATTTAAAAAACAAGATACAAATACACCACTATAAAAATTGAACTTGTAAATTTTTAAAAATGTTAAACTTATTACACTAAAGGACTAAGGAACTTTATACTTAGGATTTAAGTTGAATTAATTAAACTTTAAACTTAACTATCATTCTCCAAAACCAAAAAAAACAAAAACAAAAACAAACAAACAAAACAAAACAAATCGCAATCAATCTCCCGTCAACCTCCTCTTTTTGAAAGAAAAGGTGGAAGGTGATTAAAGAAAAAAAAAGAACAAGACATTTCATGACTAAATTCCCACTAATTGAAACAAAATCAGCATAGCCTCCAAAAGACAGAAAGTTCACACGCAACCAAACATGCAGGAAAATACCATAAAAATAATCCCCGAATGGACCATGACAGTTGAGTGTAGTGTAGTTGAAAATCTCCAACCAGATTGCCTTAACTTATATATATACTATGCATTATCGTAGGAAGAATCACAAACAGAGTAAATAAGAATGTTTTTGTCAAGAAGAATCACATTTCACACGACCAATATTCAGTTCCCTCCAGCAATACAAAATAAAGGGAAAATCCACATTAACCAAATCAAACAACGTTGTAGTGAATAGTGATATAGACACGAGCCATTTTCTTCTGGCCAGGACAGGAGCCTTACATCGTACAGGTAACAAGTGAGGAGCATTACACTACTACAGGGTACTGAGCCTTGAAAGCTTATAATATGGTACAACACGAATTGGTTTTCTTCGCCTGCTTGTAAAACATCTGTTATAGGCACCAGCATAAGATTCTTGTGTCAGCAAGATAACTTGTTGGCGGATAAAGCTATATATTTATCATTAAGAAAGTTTTTTCAGGAAAGATGCCTGATAATAATGATATGGACCTCAAAACAGTCGCAACTTTACACTAGTAAATAGAAATAACAATTTTGGCAACCCAAAAAATGATGAAAAATGACTATTAACATGTATAAAGAGAAGAGACAGGCCTCAGGAAATAGTGAAAATGAAAGTACAAAAATAAATAGACTATTTTCAAGCTTCAACGGCAATACAAGATTTTGACAACTGAAATGGTATCTGCCCCCCACATGGTAATAAGATAAATACCTATTTCAAGCTTAAATGGCAATACAAGATATTCCTAGCTTAAAAGCACCTATAAAACCCTAAATTTCATCTTCAAATTTGTAGAGATAGCGGATCTAACTGTAATCTTTTTTTTTTTTTGCCAAAGATCTCATTGTAATCTAATTACACAAAAGAACACGCAAGGACGCAAAGCTTCAACCAAATATATGACTTGGCTCAATTATGATACTGATATTGTATTTTATGGTTCACCATAGTTAGAAACAAAAAATGTTGGCACGTGTTAAAGGATGACAATAAGTAGTTCCCAAGAACATGTCAAATGACCATTACCCAAAGGTTTGGTAAAAGGAAACATAAAGGATGAGCTGCACATAATTGACATAGGCACTGGTGTGATATTCCCAGATGCATAATTATAAAACTGGCTGTGATGTACCTGTGAAGCTGCACTCAGATCAGAACTCTTCTCAACTAAACTGTCCAACTTCTCCCCACGTGCAAGAACACTATCAATAGTCTTATGCTGTTGTATGAAAAAAAGGGGGGAAATAAAAAATGAGAAATACAAAAGTCAAAAGAAAACAACCGCCCGCATTGACATCTGGCTTCTGGAGATATAAAGCATAAAAAAGCAGCACAACAATGGATAGCAAGGGAAGAAGTAACAAAGCCAACAAATCCACATGTAGCATGGGTAGATCAAGACACCAAATTAATTTTAGCATTGCTGCTCAAAGGCACATTAATAAGCATAAATACAAATTTTAAAACATGAAAGCAAAAGAACAATCATTAATCAATAAAAGGGATGGTTTTAGCAATTCTATGATAGCATCTCACACAAGGATAAGCATCACAATTGTAATTCCTATTCAGATATGATAACGTGATACTGAAATTGCATGACCATGCAGTGATTATCATATGTATTGAGAAACAAATCCAGAATCCCCCAAACAATTAAAATTTTTTTCACAGAAAGTTACTATCCATATAAAATGGAAAGTGTTAGACAATAGCCAAAGAAGAATGTCCAACAGGAGAAGGAAGTTTATAAGACAGTGTTCCATATTTAAATATAACACTTACCAGGATGATTTTTGTTTCATCCAATTCCCTCTGGATTTTCAACAACTTATCAGCCTCTGCAGGGTCCTGAAGATTTGTAAATAGCAGGGAAAACGGGATAAATGAGTCAAAAATAACATATAAACAGGAAATCAAAAAGAAAAGTAAATTGGTACACTTCGAAATATTGTATAATTTAACTGATAGAGTACCGATTATTGTGGGACAACGGGTGATGTGGGAAGTTAGAGAAATAATAGAAATCATATTATTGTTAAGTTATTTTACATATTTTCTATTTAATAATATTATTTAGATTATTTTTCTGTTGGTTGGGTGATCCTCAAGTTTAGGAGTAGTAGGTCATATACTTGCAGATTAAGTGAGTAATTTTATTTTATTTTATTTTTTTATTATTTAAGTAGTTATTTTCCATTATCTGGGTTATGGATTAATGGTCAGTAATTAAATCATTATTTATTTATATTAGTGGATATTCTCTTTGGCTTTATTAGTTGTATGAGTTTAAGATTCTTGTACATCTTCTACTAAAGACTTTCCTTTATCTTTATTAATTTATGAAGTTAGATTCTGATTTCATATTTTAATAAAGATTTCTCTTTCTTATTTCTACCTACCAATCTTGCATCTTATCGTTAACACTCTAACAAGACATCCTTTAGCTGAAGCTGATTCAACTTAGAAGTATAGAGGTACCTGGAATCTTGTCAGAGCTTGGTCCAAATAGGGCCATGATTGAGTACTATCTACCTGAGCACTTCTCCATGAACTACCAAAAGCCTTTTCATATTCATCAAGCAGCTGCAAAACATCATATTCATTATCATGTATTAGATAAGGTCATCTCAAGAACGAGATACATAAGATACATCATGACAGCAAATTTCATTTGACATGTTCTAGTTTATTCGACTTCAATTCCTGCAAATTATTCCTCGTTGCCAAGAGGATAAGTAATTTAACTGGTTTATTTACTTTACCACAATCATTATCCCTTCTTTGTCCATTAAAGAAAAGGAAAATTTCTTTGCACAAATTCACCAGTAAATACACACTTCTCACTGGAATCATATGGGACAAAGGGCCTTCACTAGTCAACCATCTATACATCCACTAGCACAACAGAGCAATACTTATCATTTTGAATGGACAACAAACAGGGGAAGCAGGTTTAAGACATCAGCCATGAGATCCATGTTGTTGCAACAAAAGGAAAGAAACAAAATTATCAATAAAATGTGTGCATGTGTAAAGGAAGGGTAATTTTTAAGGATATCATGAAGGGCTGGCTGAAACAGCTTTAATCGTGCTGTACAGAATAATTAAAAAGGTTAGGCTTAATTACTGATTTGGTACCACAATTTCATGCAATTTCTAAAAGGGTCCCAATAGTGTCAAAGAATTAGATTCCTATAGTTTCAAATTTATTAAATCTAGTCCCTGAAATTAGACTATTGTCTAACATCTGTTAGGCCATGTTGATATGTCCAAGAGATCAGTAGTTCCAAGCCCTCATTTGCAAGTACGGTAAGCATTTTATTTTACGCCATATCCCCTAGGCTACCACCTTATTACCCATATTTTCTTGTCAGTATTTGGTAGTTAAATTGTTAAATCCTTTGTACTCATCTCTTATTCCCCATACTATCATTGAACTTCCCCAGGAAATCAGAAAATCTTGAATACAATAAGCTTGACGAGGTACCCATACCCTTTCAATAAGTAGTTCTTTGATTATTCTAATTTAAGCTTAGTTGTGAGAAGCCTCTACTTTTCAGACAAACGTAAAATCCAAGGCCACAGATCCCAACCATTAAAACCTAAAACGCAGTCATACTCTACTCTAGAGGGTCATTAATTTAGCAGGTTAACAACAAACCCAAAATGTACTGATATAAATCAAACACAGAATGATATCACACAGAACTCAACGAGCATGAACATGTATAATGTTGTACCTAAAAGAAATATGACAGTTAAATGTAACTTAGCAACATTTTCATTTTCTAAAACCAAATCAGAAGTTTAATTTTCCAAATGTCAATGTTAACATCTTCAGGGAACTAAGGACATATCAAGAAAGCTGAGGATGTTAACATGGCCTAACAGAGAAAAAGCCGCTCCCGTTGAAGTAACAAGAAAGCTGATCCCTTCATAAGAACAAATGGAAGTGATAGAATATGTTAAAGAAAGCAAGAGACTGCTCTTGGAAACAAGATGTGCTGCCAATAAAATAATATTAAGGAAGAAAATTATTGCAATCACCTGGTTGAGGAGAGAAAATGAACTTCGAATGGGATAGTGATCATCCATAAAGCCCAATGCGCAAAGGCCATTTCTGTTGTAAGCATGCACCTTGTACTCTAAAAAAAAAGCAAACAGATACCATGTATTCATGCTTCAGAATGTAAACCAACTCAACCATTAACAACAAAATACAACAACAATAAGCCTTATCCCACCAGGCGGGTAACTCAACCATTAAATAAAGTTGAAAACATAAAGTCCGTCAAATCTCCATCTCAGATGTAACATCGTCTTGACAAAGAACTTGGAGTATGGGAGCTCAAATTATACCATCAAAAGATAAATTTATCCATCCCTAAAGATGGATTCATATAATTCCAGGGAACCGATGCCTTTAATAAATTTTATTGTTTGTGCCAGCCAAAAAATAAAAAAGAAAGAAAGATGCAACGAAGTATAAGCTTTTCTCATAATTGGCAGTGAGTGAACTTGAATTAAAACAACCGAATCCGACTTCGGAGAAAAAAATACTCTCCCAGTGACACAACCATGGTGGATACAGATATCACCATCCATAATTGATTAAAACGACCGGGGGGAGAGGGGGAATCCAACGAGCAAGCAGGTTTTGTCTCCTAGACTCCAACCCAAATCAACCAATTCAGCATCCAATAATTCGAAAACATAAGCTAAATGGTGCATTAGGAAAGCGATTCGAAATCCATAACTCAGGACCGACAAAGAGACTATCGAATCGAGACCCAGAAACCCTATAGAAAGGAAAGAATAAAACGCAGTAACACACCTTCGTGTTGGACAGATTGGCGCTGTCCCTGGGCAGTGCGTTTGGCGACGGTACGACCGACGAAGACGATAAACTCCTTGACGCTAGAACGTTGGAAGTAGCCGAAGTGGCTTACATCGCACGAATTCGCAAGTATCACCGGATCGGATCCATCAGGGATGCATTTAAGCATCAACAGAGCTGTGATCTTCATATCTCCCTCTCTCCCTCCCCAAATTCTTCAAATTCAAAGATTCGTTCTTTTCGATTAAGCGTCGGTAATGAAATCGGGAAGTGAAACTGCAAATGGAACAACGAAAAATAATTGAATTGTCCGAATATATATATATATATATATATATATATATATCTTACTCAATTTAAGTTTACTTTTAAAAAAATTAATCTTTTAGTCTTTTAATTTTTAATTTATTTATGACTTAATCTCTCAACTATAATTTACTGTGACTCAATTTTTCAATTATGACTCACTTACGACTCAGTCCATCAATTTTTAAATCACTTATAAATTATTCCCTTAATTTTTGTTAATTTTTTTTCATGTTAGCTTATATCTCACATCAATGAGTAAGAGGAGGGTATTTTAAAATAATATATGAGCATTTTTTATCCCTCTTATTTGATAAGAAATTTTTAAAAAAATTAAAAAATAAGGATCGAGTTATAAGTAAATCAAAAGTTGAGGGACTGAGTCGCAGTGAGTTATAGTTGAGGGAGCGAGTCGCAGTGAGTCATAATTGAGAGATTGATTACAAGTGAGTTAAAAGTTAAAAAATTAAAAAATTAATTTTTTTTTTTTAACAGCTCATTCCACATGAGTTGCCATATTAGAATATTACACACACGCACACAGAGAAACACACATAACGCAGGACAACTTGCATCAAATTATTAAAAAAAAAACTTTGGCCACCAAAAAAAAAAAAACCCTATGTCCCCTAGTATAAAACAATTTTAAAAATATTTTGTTGTTGTAAAATACAAAATAATTTAATAAAAATAAAGCTAAAAATATTTTTTAATATTATCTTTTAAATAAGGAGAAAATTAAAATAATTATAATATAATTATCAGGTGTATAAATTTAAAATTATATTAAATAAAAATATTTTTAAAAGTTTATGTTTTATTTTGAAAAAAATAAATTTGTAAATATTATCTTATTTCAAATTTGCGGCGGCGGAAGTACCATTTTTGAAGGCTTTTTGACCGGCATGCTTTAGGAAAATTACTGAAAAAGTGATAATAAAAATTTTTTTAAGTTGTATAACTGATATTTTGATTTTTTAAAATGTCATAATTTTTTTAAAATTTTTAAAAATTTTTTTATTATTAAAAAATTAATATAAATGATTAAATTATCCTTAATTCAAACTTGTAAATTGTTAAATTTTATGATTTAAAAAAAATCTTAAAACAAAACTTATGAATGACAATTGATATTTATAACACTTGAGAAATATCATGATTTTAAATGTGAACTTGTAAATTATTACTGAATTCTTACAATTTTAAGAAGAAAAGTTATGAATCTTAAAATAAAGTTTGTGAATGGCAATTAAAAATATGAAGTAAGGACAATTTAATCATTAATTCTTTAATAATAAAAAAATCTCAAAAGACTGTAAGAAAATTATAACATTTGGATGGATTAAGATATTATTTATATAATTTAAAAAATTTTATTATTATTTTGCCAAAATTATTTTCCAACATGCTATGCCCTGGGAGAATTGACCACAATGCTACGAATTTAAACTCGGCTTGGAAATCAGGTTTGAAAATAAATTGGCTTCACATATTTTTCCCCCCTCATGTTGGCATATTAAAAGTTGGTTTCATCGAAACTGATTTCTTCTACATATCATCATGTCCTCGCCTTCCTTTTATTTTTTTCCTCCTTCCAAAACTTCACCCACTCCTTTTAAAGATTATTTTTCTCTTTGAATTTTTTTCCAAGAGTGTTGGGCAATATTTTTTTCTCCTACTCTAGTAAATGAGGCAATGTTTCTTAAACCATTTTGTCGAGAAGCAATTTTATTCAAAAGCGCGGGGAACCCTAAGTATTATTAAAATAAAATTTAATAAAAAATTATTTTAATAAAAACATGTTAAAATATTAAATATTTTAACATTTAATAATTTAAATATTGTTTTTATAAATATTCATTTAAAATTTATAAATTATTTTTTAAATATTAATAACTTAAATTAGTTTTTCAGAAATTTATAAATGATTTGTAAATTATGTATGAAGATTTGTAAATAATAATAATATGATTTCTTAAAATTTGTTAGGAATTTATTTGAAACGGTAAAACTGACAGTTCTTTAATGGAAGAATAAAATTACTTCTCAAAAAAAATTCATCAAACAAATTATATTTAACCTTTTTATTATTAAAATATTGTGAGAGGCTGGATGACGTACAACAGTTGAGTGTTGAGTGGGCAAATTTTAAGGAGGAGGCAAAAAATAAATAAATAAAGGAGGGCAGGGCATTGCAAAATCAGGTGTAGGTCTGACAATATATATATATATATATATATATAGGAAAAATCACTTTAAATGAAATCAACTTAAAATCTAACAATACAAGAAAAAAAGAAGAACTCAGTACATGTCAAGTCAATTTATTTTCAATCCACCATGATTATAAATTAGTTTGGTACAAACCAAATTTAAATTTTAGGCGGTACAGCTTAGGGATGAAGGTGGTTGTTGCCATTGTTTGTGTTTTTCACCTTGCAGCAATGGTCATATGGTGCTGCGAAATCTGCTCTTTGGTTAGCAATCTTGTTAAAAGGGATGGGACTGATGGGGTGGTTCAATGAAGCCCCATCCCTTGCTTTCTACCATTGTTTTTTATGTCTTTTTGTGTTTCCAACGGTGGGAGCGTGATTGACTCTTTTTTTGTTAAGATTTGTTATGGCGGTATTTACTTTTTGGGATTAGGGTTTTGTATATTTTGGCTTTAGCCCTTTATGTACAGTGAACTCTCTATACTTCTGTTCTCTTAATTGAATGTGTACTTTGGCCCCAAAACAAAAATTGTAGCATTACGGTAAATTCTCCTCACGACGAAGCATATTGGGAAATATTTTTTTCCCATAGCATGACAGTCAAAAAAGCCTTTTGGAATTACTAATTCAAGTAATACAAATAAAACAACAAATAAACAATAATTCTTTTTTTCCCCTTTAAATAAAGATAGTGACAAACTGAGAAAGAACCAAAGATGATGAAAATCAGAACTATCATTGTCTACAAGGCTCAGAAGCTCAATGGGCTGCAAATAATCAATATTTCAAAAGAATTTTGTGAAAGGGTTCAAATGTTAGCAAGGACTAGGAGCACTGATTTCTTATACTATTTATTAAAGTGATGTTATCTTTCAATTATCAAAATTTACAATGTCTTCCTTAACTAATAGACTTTAACATTAATCACTAAATCGTTAACCTTATAGTATTAGTTTTGGGTTAAATAAAGGTATATTTGTCCTAAAATATCCATAAAAAAGTGCTCCCTTCGTTTCAAATTATAAGGCACTTTTAAAAAAAGTTCTCCATCTCAAAATATAAGACATTTTGAATAGATTAATATTTCATTAAATGTACCAATTTCAATATTACCCTTTCTCTCTCTATAATTAATTTCCATCTTTCTCTTTTCAATATATTAAATGATGGATATTTTTAAAATTGTATATTTTTGTTTTGAAAATATAGAGTTGTTAAGTGTATTTAATGAAGTTTATTGATATATAAAATTATGTTTAAAAGTGTTTTATAATTTGAGAGGGAGTAATTACCATTTTAATAATGTGGAGTAACTGTCATCCTACTTTTTTTTCATCAAAAACTGTGACATAGTATTTTAGGTGTCAAATGTTTTGGTAACAAAGCATTTATCAGTCAAAAAATGTATTAACTACTATAAGGATCAATTAACGACATTGTCACGAGTTTTTTATTTACTGCTTCCATATGAAAAGTGAAGGTATTTTTGATTAAATATCTCTCTCTCTCAAATTAATTAATTATTTTTAAATTAATATTATCTTTTTGTATTTATATTTATTTAATAAGGTGTTTTACATAAAAATAAAAATTAAATAATTTATATATTAAGGTATTTTAAAAAAATATATTAATTACATCTTAAAATATAAAAATACTTTATATTTTTTAATAGATGAAGTGTATATATATAACATGTTAATTTAACACTGGTCAATCATTCGGGCCCAAAAAAAAAACACTGGTCAATCAGGGAGAAAAAACTTAGCTTACATTAATGATAATATCAAAACATGATCCACGTGTTTTGTCTGAAAAATATGAAAAATGAAATAACTGTCATTTGGTTTACCAACTAACGCTCTTCAATTAAAAAAGAAAGAAAGAAAGAACACGGTTTGTCATTCCAAACTGTTATAAATTGATGTTTTTTTTAATTATATATATATATATATATATAACAGGAAATTAAACGAAGAAAGCAGCACAATTGGGAAATTGGAAAAAAAAAAAAAACCAGGAGCTTTTTTTTTTTGGGCACAAACCAGGAGCTTCAAATCATGATTGTCTTGCTAATAAATCAGCTTCTCGATTATGTATGTCTATATATATATATATAGGGGTCCTATCCTCTCAAAATGAATGGTCCAGATTTATTTATTTTATAAAATAATTATCATAATATCATGTAAAAATAAAAATAAATTTAAATTGTTAAAATTTAACCTTCATAGTTCACATTTATATATTATTATAAAAAAATTTAAAAAATTAAATTTTTTATTTATTTTATTGTACTTTTAAACTATGCAGATTAAATTTTAATGGTTTAAAATTATCTATTTATTTTTTTAATATAATATTATGGTGATTTTTTTATAAAATAATTAAATTTGAACCTTTTTTTTTTATTCAAGGGTACAAATTGGATAAGGAGAAGAAAATGAAAAAGAAGAACGAGAAGAGGATCTCCTTCCTCATATATATTTTGACTAGCTAGAGGAGTAATCGACTGAGATTTATATAACAGATAGTACATATAAACAGATAGTACCTGTAAAAGTATGGTTAGTTGATCACAGTGGCAGAGCAGGACCTGGGTTAGGGGGCAATTTTCTCTTAAAAAAATTAATAATTTTAAAAATAATGTAATAATTGGAAAATCAATCATATATATTTATTATATTACTAAACTTAGAGTTAAAAAGTTGAAATTTTTGGACTTGTGTTTAGAGAAAAAATCAAAATGAATTTAATATTCAAAAGATAGGGT